GTGTGTGTGTTTGTTTGTGTGTGTGTGTGTGTGTGTGTGTGTGTGTGTGTGTGTGTGTGTGTGTGTGTGAGAGCAGGTCTGTGAGTCAGAAAGCACAGGAGTGTTTCATCTATCAGCTCTTTCCTCCGGCGTCTCCTCCGCTCTCTCCGCTCGTGTCTCCGGCCGCGGGGCTCCTGCGTGTCTCCAGCGTTCAGGCGTTACTCGAGTCCTCCTTCATGCACTCGGGACTCAAGCTCACGGAGGTGACCACACACACACCTACAGACACACGGTGTGAAATACACAGAGACTCATCTAATCACACGGCTGTTGTTTTCTTCAGGCTCCGTCCTGCTTGCCGCTCCTCATGCCCAGATTCGGCAAAGAGTTCAAGATGTTTGACGCCATCCTGCCCTCGCTGAGCCTCGACATCACCGACCTGCTGGACGAGAGTCAGAGCGCTGCACTCATTCACTCACTACTTAGCATTTTCACTTTCATTATCATATTTACATCATGTTAATCTTTATTATTTGTATTTATGATTAAATATTTGTAGCATTTAATTAAAAATTTTTTTTTATTCATTTGTATTTTTTTGCATTTATTTTAAACTAAATATATATAATGGGATATTTATTTTATTTACAAATATTTTTATTTCTTCATTATTATTATAAAATATTTTCAAAAGTGTTTATTTTTTATTAGTTTATTCATTAATTTTGTATAAATTTTTATTCAATGATTTTCCATTATTTTTATTTATTTAGTTCCATTATTCATTATTTATTTTATTATAATTTATTTAATAATTTTCTTATTTTTTATTAAATGTTTCCTTCAGTTAGTGAATTTTAGTTTTCATTGATATTCTTTAGTGTTTTATTGTTCTTTCGTATTTTAGCGTTTATTTTATTGTAAATATATGTAAGAAAACATTTATATTTTTTAATTAATTATTTTTTTATTTTATATTATATATCAGATTTATTTTATTATTTAGAAAATATTTTATTTTATTATTTATTCATTATTTATTATTAATTTTCATTTATTGATTTTTTGCATTTATTTATTTATTCATTTGTAATATTATTTATTCAATTACAATTTATTATGCTTATTTGATGCTTTTATTGTGCAGTTTTTTATTTAATGTTTTTATTTCAAATACCTTTATTTCTTTATCACATTTATTTTATAACAACTATATCAATTTGATAAACAAAGGTATAAATGTGTATGTAAAATACTTAATTTTTTTCTTCATGTAGCATATTTCATTAATGTATTGTTTATTTATGATTTTTGAAATATTTATTATTGTGTGTGTGCAGCTCTGCGGCAGTGCAGTATCTGTCAGTCGGTGGCGCAGTGGGAGTGTCTGCAGTGTTACGAGGATGTTGACATCACACCTGGACAGTTAAAACAGTACTGCAACACCTGTAACACACAGGTAACACACACACACTCACACACTCTCTCTCACACACACTCACACACGCACACACACACACACACTCACACGCACACACTCACGCACGCACACTCTCACACACACACACTCACACACACACACA